TTTTTTTTTTTTTTTTTTTTTTTGGATGAAACTTGGCAAAATTGAGATTTTTGGTACAGATTTGGAAGTATCATCATCCTTTGCTGATCGATCCTTTTGTTAGAAATTTTGCAATTTAATCTGTTCCAATTTTCACTGATATCCAGTGACGGAGAGTTTGCTCTTTACAAGTTCCTTTTGCATTACTATCCAATAATTACGTACGATTAGAAATTTTGTCCAACGATGGAGACTATTCATTTCTCGCGAATCTCCCAGGTATTTCTAATAATCATACAATTGAAATCTAATGGCCCTAACGATCGATATCCAATAATGGAGATTTTGCATTCTACAAGTTATTTCTCGCATATTTCCAATGATCGTGCAATCGAAATTTGATAGTTCGAATGATCAGATGATATCCAATGATGAAGAGAGTATTTCACAAATTTTTACGAGTCTCTCGTATTTCTTTCATTGAAATGAAAGTCAAAACTCAACAAAGGACAGAAAGATTTTACAATGAAAAAATAAACTACAATCGACAATCGTAAATTTGTCTCTCATCGTAGCTGAGCTCCCTCAGTATTGCCGGCTGAATTTTCAATGAACTTGACCAGCGTTTGATAAGGCGATTAGGCTCGTAAAGCAACGACCTTCCTCCACCGTTCACGTGAACCACACTCAAGCGAAATTAACGCCAGTTTGATAAACATCAATGATCAAACCGCCAATGCGTTTGCAAATTTACGAGCAGACACGGGGCCTCCGCCGATTCGTGGAAGATTTTCGCGGAAAGCACGAATTTTCCTAATAATTTAAACTCTCTCGAATTTCCTTTCATTTCGCTGGCTCGGCGTTTTTGACGTTTCTATCCGATGTTTTTCACGAAAGATTTCATCTCGAAAAGCTTCGACATCTTTTTTCGTTAATTACAACGACGTGGGTGAGCGAATCGTTATTAAAGTGTAATTGAAAGAGTCACTCTTTCAATCGATTCGAAATCTGAATTAAAATTTGCCGTTCGAAAACTTTGTTTCGTACGAACCTTCGTGCTTTGGGTTTCGTTTTAAACGACGAACGAGAGAACTTTTAGTTTAATATATCTCCACACTGGCAAAGTGATTTTTACCTGTTTCAAATTTCGCGGTTGAAATTCGATTCGTTCCCCCATTATGTTATTTATGAAATTATGCCCTCGACAGTTTGCATCACTTCCTCCTTTCGAAAGGGGACAAAGGAATTTTTTTTTTTTCATTTCAAATTTTGCTGTTTTCATATCGCGATTGGCCAAAATTTTTGAAGATTTGATCCTACGAAGCATACAAAGGATTTTCTCTGATTTTCAAACACGAACAAAATCATGGTTTTTTTTCATTTTTCTCCCCTGACGAAACCGTTTCTCTGGCGAATAATTCCTATTGCCAAGAAAATTGATGGAAATATTGTAAAGAACAACTGTGATTCACTGGTCTCGCCCGGTTCTGAACAGAAGCGCATCGAGATGCACAGCAAAATGAAAAAAAATTGCCAGTCACGTGGAAGCGCAGATAAGATCGTTAATTGCACATTAGACTTGCATTACTCACCAAGCTTAGCTTGATTGGCACTTGAAAAATATCCAGAAGTAAATTTCAAAAATATTCACGATTACACGAATTATTAGAAACGTGTATATAAAATTTGTGTGCAAATTAAATCTTCCTAATTCAAGATCAATCCACAATTTCACCAAAAACGAAAACCATCAATTTCAAAAATATCCACAATTAGGCCAATCAAATTGAAAACATGAAATTTCTACATGAACTCAGATTTCGCAATAAAATTCAATTATTACCTTGGAAAAGTCATTAAAGAATTTAAAATCAGACCGATAGATTCTTACATAAATTAAATCTTCGCGATAAAATTATCTCGAAATCGTTCAATTACCTTGCGAAATCCTTAAAAAAAAAAAAATCTACCAATTTCAAAGACATCTACAATTGAAACAATCGTCAAATGGATGAAAATTCGTATATAAATTGAATCAATTACAAACAAAGCTCAATTACGAAATTCTTAAGAAATCTGACATTCACCAATTTCAAGAATCACAATCACACCAATCACCAGGAAATCATAAAATTCGAACAGAAAGGAAATCTTGGCAGTAAGCCTCGATCGTTATTCTCTCGAACAATATCTTCAAAACATCCGGGATAAAATCATCGCGAGAACGATACTCAAC